GCCGAGTACAGAGGCACGATGACTTCCCTACTCCTGCTGGCCACGCTATTCTTGATACGAGCCAGGATGCCATTGGCCTTCTTGGCCACCTGGGCACACTGCTGGCTCATGTTAAGCCTGCTGGAAGAAAATACAGGAGAGAGCAATGGTAGGGAGCAGCACACCTTTCCTCACTGCTTTTCGGAGCTTAGTCTTTCGAGATGCAGCCCCCGGCAAAGTGGCTCATGAAAGTTTGATGAAGAGCATTTTGTTTAACACCAGCAGCTGAGCCACAGCCCCGTTGAGCCGCGTTGCCCAAGCGAAATGTCACAACCCAAGAGGATCAAGAGACTCAATTGCAAGAGGCAGGTTCCCGGGCAGCAGAGGAGCTCACGACCTCTGGAGCAAGGGGTTACCACCCCACAACCTACTTGGTCACCAAAATGTGAGAAGGCTGCTGTAACACTGATGGATGCTGAGCCTCCTTCAACACTTGCCCACCGTGCTGCGAGCCTGCGCTAGGTGGTCTGGTAAATACAGGGAAGTCCACAGCCTTTTTGTGTTAGCACATAGAAACCTTGATTCTTCCCCCCCCCCCTTTTACCTTTTTCACATCTACACGCACTGAAAAGATTCACGGTGTGCTATTCCCTACCATTTTGCTTCAGCTTTTTCGTGCTCTACTGCTTTTGTTCCCCTGCCCCTCTTCCATAAAGGGATATTCTCCAGGAACAGCCATGCCTGTGTAACTGAGAATACACAAAGGTGGTGCTGTGGGCTCACACAACCTTAACAGGACAAGCAGTTAAATATTTTAGCACAGCTAACAAATGACTGTATGGTCCAGTAATTACCTTTTCTTGTTCTTCAGGTGCTAAAAATCCACACACTATTTTTTGAAGAGTACTGAATTCAGCATTTCTGGAAAGAAAGAGAAAAAGAAAAAAGTTTAAAAAAACAATTATACTTCCCTCTGATGATTTATACATGCACCAAAGGATACAGCAATGAACTGTATTTGGTCAATTAATTTGGTCTGATCTGTTTTGGTCAACATATCTGATTTTTAAAAGCCTGTAAGAATTTTTAATCTCTATAAAGCACACCTCTGTATGGGAAGACAGCACTAGCACAACAGTGGGATGAAAAATCAGTGGAGGCTATAACTGCAAATTATTAAAAAAACCTTAGAGACACAAGTAGTTATCAAACACATGTGGAGGTACATGAGTATCTCTTCACCATAACAGACTCCAATGTCACCTGGATAAACTATTGTCATACTAGAGGATTTACCAGAAATTTTTAGAGGTTGCTGCACCAGAATAATAAAGAAATATCTGGTTTGAAAAGAACATAAAATAAATTAGGATTGTCAGAAAGGTAATTCCTGTTCCTCAGTAGTTAAATCTTAAAATTCCTCCATCCCCTTACATCTTCAGTGTTGCCTTCTAACTGTAGTGTTAGATGCTAAACGTAACATTAAATGGCAAAAGCATGAAATGCATGGATCCAGGTAAAGTGCCTCGAAGTGTTGGTTTTATTAGGATTAATTACACATGACAAACTGCTCCTCACAGCTGGGATTGCTACAGACAGAATTTCAGTGGGAATCAGTTTTGTCAGAATCAAGCTGGATGGCACAGGACCCCTGGACCCCATCCCACCCCGATTTAACAATTAGAAAATAAAATTAAAAACCCATGCAAGGGAAATAGCAAGGAGTCCTCCTGCCTGAATTCTGCTTACAACATTAACTATAAGCCCACCTTATTTTCCCACAACTTGTAAGGGAGAACATGGGTCATTTCATTCGGAAGAAGTATATTACAATGAAAAACTCTGATTAAAATAGGATCCAGTGTTAAACTGGGGACAGATGCTCCAGTTGCAGTGGCAGGTCCCTAAGGCTTCCCTAACGGGGGCTGCAGCAGGTCCCACACCCTGCACCATGCCATACCCTCATAACTTTGCAGACCAAAAAAGTGGAAGCAGGAGTCTGTTTTCACAGCTCAGCTGATGCAGAATGGCCCTACTTTAATTGTTGGTCCCAAAAAGGGGAAGTTTAACCCCAGCTCTATGTACTCCTCGGCAGAAACTCCCCTGAGAGTATGAAAAGGAGGCTGAGGCATCTGTCCCCAACACATAATTCATCTTATTTCTGTACTAAAGGAGCAATCACTTGCATTCAGTAACCTTGGAAGTCAGACAAGTAAATTAAAACTTAAAAAAGGCCTGAGAGTCCAGGATGCATGCTGCTTTATGAGTGATTTCTCTGTAATAGGCAAGTACGGATGCTTTGAAAGAAAAAGAGACCTATTCCAGGTCGCCTGTCACCAAAATTGCCTCCATAAGCAATAAACAGGTTTTGGACCATCTAAGAAATTTACAGGCAAATGCGGGGAAGACCAGTTATTATTTCTCCCTGCACAAATTAAAAGGTCTCCAAATGTTAGCTGCTTTCAGCCTTGGATTTTTATCAAATATATACAGTTTCAGTAGGAAAAACCACTTCTACAAGTGCAGAGCAGACCGGGCAACACCTCATGAGGGCATTCATATCTTTTAATTCTAGGAAAAATGCCGTTTGTTTAGACTACTCTGCTTGTGTTTTATAGCAAAACCTGGACCTGGTTCCAAGAAGCTTTTGGAGAGGAACTGATGTGATGGCAGCAGTGCAGAGCAAAGAAATGGTGGTTTGCCTAGACTGAAGAAGTTAATGTTTGCTACCCCATTAACTTGCAACGGCTTTTTAAATGAAATTAAACCAAGGTCTTTGTTTCATTTATGATACCCCAGATTTCACTTCTGCTTGGAGCATAGGGGGCTAGAGATAGCACAACCTAGAGTGGTTTATGGCTCTTCTGTGTCATCTTAGGATTCAGCACATGCTCTCCTCCCAGCTCACTTTTATTTTATCATAATGTGAATGTACTTTCTTGCCTTCCCTCCCCAAATGCCAAATGTATAACCTTGAGTTGGCCTCTGCCATATGCCATTTCTATGCAGATTTCAAATGCAGTGCGGGGAATTCTTGTTCTTATTAAAATAAGAAAGGAACAATACAGGGATTCCTGCACAGTAAAGATCTTACAAAATGCTTAATAGAGAGTCAGCGCTCCCTGGCAGTGGGTGCACTGCAGGAACCACAGGGATTTGGCGTTAGCCCTAAAAGACAGAATAAACACACTGAAGAGACTTTGCTTTACCTCTGACTCCTCTTAATACTCACAGCAGTACAGCGCCTGCCCCATATGCAAGGGAAGCTCTTTTTTCTTTCCTTTGACTGCTTTCCACACCATTTGACTAACCTACTCCCCTCTAGAACCTGCAGGGACTTTCCCAGAAAGCATTTGTTGTTTCTTACCCAGTTCTTCCCAATTTTACTTTGCCCGGACAATTTGGCAAAGCGGTTTCACTCAAGATGTTAACGGAGAGGGGAAATCCCCATCTCTCTCAGATATTGAGGTGCTGGAGCGGGTCCAGAGAAGATGGTGAGGGGTCTGGAGAATAAGTCTTATGAGGAGAGGCTGAGGGAGCTGGGGTTATTCAGCCTGGAGAAGAGGAGGCTGAGGGGAGACCTTATTGCTCTCTACAACTCCCTGAAAGGAGGGTGTAGAGAGGTGGGGGTCGGTCTCTTTTCTCAAGTCACAGGCGACAGGACAAGAGGAAATGGCCTCAAGTTGCACCAGGGGAGGTTCAGGCTGGATATTAGGAAAAATTTTTTCACTGAAAGGGTTCTCAGGCATTGGAATGGGCTGCCCAGGGAGGTGGTTGAGGCCCCATCCCTGGAGGTGTTCAAAAGATGGGTTGAAGTGGTGCTGGGAGGTATGGTTTAGTGATGATGCTCCTTGTTTGTTGTGTGGGTGTCTATTTTTGTCAGTTAGGTTGACGGTTGGACAAGATGATCTTTAAGGTCCCTTCCAACCTAGAAGATTCTGTGATTCTGTGATTCTCCTTTGCTCCATTCCTCCCTTGCTCCATTCCCCTGGAGCTCTCCCTGCACAGATCACTGCTACGTGGATAACACAGATCCCTCAACAAAGCCCACTCCTACTAAGGGGACTGCTGGCGTCCATACGGCTAAATATTTCTAAATCCTCTGCTGTGGTGAGTAATGCATCCACCCAAATAGGACAAGGGCATACTGATCTAGCATCACTAGATGCCAGAAAAAGGGCAATTAATCTGCAAACCAGCATGCTGCTGCACCTCCATGCCAAAACAGAAGCTGCTATTAGAGAGAGCAATAATAAACATCCTCTGTTCAGCAACAGCAAAGGCTGGGAGGAGAATCCATCAAGATGGGATGGCTCACCCTCCAGCAGTTGTCTTCACTACAGAAAGCCAAGCAGTCTGACTTCAATATTTAATGCTCACAGCACAGGGACCCACAAAAAGACACACAAAGGTTTAGGCAACCAGCAGGAGGCTTGTGAAAGAGCCTCGTTCGCTAAAACATACCAAGCACCTCATTTCTGGCTCTGCTCAGGGACAGGAGTGAGCACCCGTTGACATGCTTTTGGAGATGGAAACCCACATGGAGCAGCACAGCATCACTGCTGGGCCTGAGAGTCTCTGCACCAGCCCTACGGAACCAAATCAGCAACTTTCACCTACAGTGACTTAATTAACATGCACCCTACAGATCTCTCCAAATCCCAAATATTGCCATCCTCCATTACCAGGCTTTTCTGATGAAAGTGATTAAAGCTAACAATTATAATTTGTGTTAGAGATGCCCCTAGAGGCTTTGGCTAGGCTCAGCCTTCATTGTTCACGGAACACAATACAAAGAAATCTCTCTCCCGAAGAGCACATCCTCCAAGAAGACAAAGCAATCAAGCATTAGCAGAAAGAAAGGCACAGAGACAAAAAACAGTTGCTCAAGGTCATTCAGCAGGCCACCAACAGAGCTAGAACAAAACCCACCTCCTCTGTTGAGAACCCATAAGGCTGTGCTGACTCTCCAGTACTGAGCTGATCAACTATTACACTTTATTTATCAAGTGCCAAGAGCAAATGAAGTGCTTCATAGTGCTACTGTTCTGTGTTTGAGCATGTATTTTTGTGGTGGCTCTCCAAGCAAAGCTAACCGCGACACTGAAAGAGTTACCTTCCCTTCACCTTCCAAAGAAATGCTTCCCACACTTTTTTGTGCACATTACTGACAAATCGATCCCCCTCAATTTTTTTTTATTCTTCCATCAATGCTTTCAACAAAGAGTGATTGCTCAAGCGCCCTTCTCCATCTTGCACTTCCAATTTTTTAAGGAATGGTCAATCTTGATACGCGTAATTATAATTGCAAATGGATCATTTTATCTTGTACTCTTCTATTTTAATGGGATTATGTACAGACAAATCTCTATGGTAACATTTAAAGTCAAAACCTCCTAGGTCATTCCTATGTGGTTTAGATACTTAAAAATATTAATATTCAACTACTTATGTTACAAAAGGTTAGATTTCTAACTACCTGGCCCACTTAGGACACCACAAATCTGATACTGTTTCCACTGATTACTAGAAAAATCTTTCCAAGGCAGTATAACTGGAATTTAATAAAACTTCCCGCCACACAATTCATCACCAAGACCGTTGTGCTTTGTACAAGGAAAGAACAAAGCAAGAGTGTGCAAAGTGAGTGAGGCTTTTAGTCTCTGCAAACAACTTCAGTGCATAAAATATTAAAAGCAATGCTAAACTAATCTCTGGCAGGAACTGCAGGCAATTCACTCCAACTCTTATTATGAATGCCTTTGGTTTACCATTTAAAAAACATTAGAGTCCACCATTAGGGTTGTGTATCACAGTGCTGTACATTAACCTCTGTAATTTTCCAACATGGTATATTGCAGTAACACAAATTAGGCTATCTGGCAAAAATGCTTAAAAAGACGCAGTATTTAAAGTGAGCA